ACAAAATTAGACTGTGAATGGTAGAAGAATCTGTAGACGCATTCATAAAAATATTTTTTTATTCAAAGTTAAAGTGATAATTTAAATTTTTTAAGTACTTGCTACTTAGACAAATATAAAATACGAGAGTTCGAAAGTTGCTATAAATGAGCTAATTATTTTGATATGTGTGTTTCCATATTAGCGTGGGTATAAAGTTGGGTTAGGTAGTTCTGCAATCAACCAATTATTTATTTTTATTTATACTATTTTAGTGATACCAGTTTCAGGGTTCATCCCCTTTCTCAGCCACCTCGTCAGTAGACTTATAACACATTAAAAATGTCAATATTTGGTTAGATTTTTAGACTTATTAGTGTTAATATTATCTGGAAATTGATGTGCCGTTTTTTGATCCTAAAATACTTGATTTTTGACCATTATTCTTGCTATACCACACGAAAATAATATAAATAAAAATAAATAATTGGCTGAATGTGGAACTATCTAACCTAAAATTATTTTCATCTTTTGTAGACTTTGGCCTCACAGAATCGTAGAGAACAACTTTCAAACTTACAACCCAAGCTAAAATTAACTTAATCGCAGTTATTTTAATAACAAATAAGAGAAATAAACCTACAAGAAAAAATCATAATTGTGTTATTAATTATGAAGTAACTATTGAAAAAAATCTAAAGATTGTGATGCCAAAAGTTACTTTAAATCAAATAATGGCTTTCATCCATAGAAACTTTTGGCCTCATAATTACATGACGAATAACTTTCGGACTCATGTGCTAACATACATTAAAGTAAAAGGTACATGAATAAATCTAAAACCAAAATTTGGTCAAATCGAGGCAGTAAAATTCATGTGAATCAATATTCGGTGCTATATATTCAGGCACACCCCCAAGTGTAAATATTCAGATTTTTTCCATAAAACCAAACATTTTGTATGAAGTTAAAACAAAATTACGACTGTGAATGGTAGAAGTATCTGTAGACGCATTCATAAAAATATTTTTTATTCAAAGTTAAAGAGATAATTTAAATTTTTTTAAATACTTGCTACTTAGCCAAATATAAAGGACGACAGGTCCAAAGTTGCTATAAATGAGCTAATTATTTTGACATGTTTGTTTCCATATTAGCGTGGGTATAAATTTGGGTTAGGTAGAGTTCTGCAATCAACCAATTATTTATTTTTATTTATACTACTTTTGGTGATACCAGTTTCAGGGTTCATCCCCTTCCTCAGCCACCTCGTCAGTAAACCTATAACACTTTAAAAAAGTCAATATTTGGTTAAATTTTTAGACTTATTAGTGTTAATATTATCAGGAATTTGATCTGCCGTTTTTTGAGCCTAAAATACTTGATTGTTGACCATTATTCTTGCTATACCACACGAAAATAGTATAAATAAAAATAAATAATTGGCAGAGTGTTGAACTATCTAACCTAAAATTATTTTCATCTTTTGTAGACTTTGGCCTCACAGAATCGTGGAAAACAACTTTCAAACTTACAACCCAAGCTAAAATTAACTTAATAGCAGTTATTTTAATAACAAATAAGAGAAATAAACCTACAAGAAAAAGTCATAATTGTGTTATTAATTATGAAGTAACTATTAAAAAAATCTAAAGATTGTGATGCCAAAAGTTACTTTAAATCAAATAATGGCTTTCATCCATAGAAACTTTTGGCCTCATAATTACATGACGAATAACTTTCGGACTCATGTGCTAACATACATTAAAGTACAAGGTACATGAATAAATCTAAAATCGGAAACCCAAAATTTGGTCAAATCGAGGTAGTAAAATTCATGTGAATCAATATTCGATGCTATATATTCAGGCACACCCCCAAGTGTAAATATTCAGATTTTTTCCATAATACGAAACATTTTGTATGAAGTTAAGACAAAATTAGACTGTGAATGGTAGAAGAATCTGTAGACGCATAATGGTAGAAGAATCTGTAGACGCATTCATAAAAATATTTTTTTATTTAAAGTTAAAGTGATAATTTAAATTTTTTAAGTACTTGCTACTTAGACAAATATAAAATACGAGAGTTCGAAAGTTGCTATAAATGGGCTAATTATTTTGATATGTGTGTTTCCATATTAGCGTGGGTATAAAGTTGGGTTATGTAGTTCTGCAATCAACCAATTATTTATTTTTATTTATACTATTTTGGTGATAGCAGTTTCAGGGTTCATCCCCTTTCTCAGCCACCTCGTCAGTAAACTTATAACACTTTAAAAAAGTCAATATTTGGTTAGATTTTTAGACTTATTAGTGTTAATATTATCTGGAAAATGATGTGCCGTTTTTTGATCCTAAAATACTTGATTTTTGACCATTATTCTTGCTATACCACACGAAAATAGTATAAATAAAAATAAATAATTGGCTGAATGTTGAACTATCTAACCTAAAATTATTTTCATCTTTTGTAGACTTTGGCCTCACAGAATCGTAGAGAACAACTTTCAAACTTACAACCCAAGCTAAAATTAACTTAATAGCAGTTATTTTAATAACAAATAAGAGAAATAAACTTACAAGAAAAAGTCATAATTGTGTTATTAATTGTGAAGTAACTATTAAAAAAATCTAATGATTGTGATGCCAAAAGTTACTTTAAATCAAATAATGGCATTCATCCATAGAAACTTTTGGCCTCATAATTACATGACGAATAACTTTCGGACTCATGTGCTAACACACAGTAAAGTACAAGGTACATGAATAAATCTAAAATCGGAGACCCAAAATTTGGACAAATCGAGGCAGTAAAATTCATGTGAATCAATATTCGGTGCTATATAATCAGGCACACCCCCAAGTGTAAAGATTCAGATTTTTTCAATAATACGAAACATTTTGTATGAAGTTAAGACAAAATTAGACTGTGAATGGTAGAAGTATCTGTAGACTCATTCATAAAAATATTTTTTTATTCAAAGTTAAAGTGATAATTTAAATTTTTTAAGTAGTATAAATAAAAACAAATAATTGGCTGAATGTTTAACCATCTAACCTAAAATTACTTTCTTCTTTTGTAGACTTTGGCCTCACAGAATCGTAGAAAACAACTTTCAAACTTACAACCCAAGCTAAAATTAACTTAATAGCAGTTATTTTAATAACAGATAAGAGAAATAAACCTAAAATAAAAAGTCATAATTGTGTTATTAATTGTGAAGTAACTATTAAAAAAATCTAAAGATTGTGATGCCAAAAGTTACTTTAAATCAAATAATGGCTTTCATCCATAGAAACTTTTGGCCTCATAATTTCGGACTCATGTGCTAACATATCTTAAAGTACTAGGAACATGATTAAATCTAAAATCGGAAACCCAAAATTTGGTCAAATCGAGGCAGTAAAATTCATGTGAGGCAATATTCGGTGCTATATATTCAGGCACACCCCCAAGTGTAAAGATTCAGATTTTTTCCATAAGACGAAACATTTTCTATGAGGTTAAGACAAATATTGGTGGATTGAGAAATAAATCTAAGAAATAAATTCATAATGATGTTGTTAAGTGTAAAATACCTATGAAAAAAGATCTAAAGACTGTGATGCCAAAAGTTACTTTAAGTCAAATAATAGTTTTCATCCATAGCAACATTTAGCCTCATAATTGCATGTTAGGTAACTTTCGGACTCGTGCGCTTCGTATATGTGAAAACAGGTAATTAACCCATCATTCCGGGCACAATTTTGTTTTTGGAACGAAGTACTAGATTAATAAATTTAAAATTGGAAACCCGAAATTTCAACACAAGCCGGTGAAATTCATGAGGTGTATTACTTCACGATATGGATTCGTAAAATTTAAGGCACAATCTCAACATTCAAATTGTAATTGATAGACTCCGGCTTTATCTAGTTAAGTAATTTTATCTTTGTTGTTCAGTAACTGATTTCTGGTTGAATTAATTTTTATAAATGAAATATTAACATTTTTATTCACTCTATTTAGTATGTTTTTAATTTTGTAAGATAATGTTTCAATAAAATCCAGAAAATAATATCTACCTATGTCTTCCTTAGTATCATGGTCCGTTTTGAACAACGAGCAACATTGTTTTTTTTTTTTAATTTTGTATCTTATTTTGTCAATTAGATTGTGGATTAATTTTACTTTAAAGTCATTATTTATTGCAATTTGTTTTATGGACTGAAGTTCTTTATTATAGTTTTCATGGTTTAGATTAGAATTGAACAATATTTCAATTAAAGATGCAAAAGTTGATATTTTATGAATCCATAGGTGGTTGGAAGAATTGCAAATAATGTTGTCTGTGTATGTTTTATTGGCCCAATATCTTGCAAAATTAAAAACATTCTTGGAGAAATATTAAACACGAGAGGCCAAAAGTTGCTATAAACGAAGTCATTCTTTTCATCTTTAGTACACTTTGACCCCATATGGATTCATACAAAACAACTTTCAGGCTCACAGTCCAAGGGGACATTAAATTAGTAACCCTTGTTTTAAGAATACCAAATCGTCTTTCAAATATCGGCGGATTGAGAAATTAATAAATCAAAGGGACAGATTTATAATTATGTTGTTTACTGTGGAGTATCTACGAAAAAAATCCAAAGACTGTGATTCCAAAAGTTAATTTAAATCAAATAATAGTTTTTATCCATAGCAACATTTGGGTTCATAATTACTGCTCCATTAAAATATTAAACTGGTTTTTCAAATTTCGCTTGTTTCTTGGATAAAATAATATAAAATACGAGAGGCCAAAAATTGCTACAAATGTAATTAATGATTATAAAAGAGTATAAGTAATTATTTTCATCTTTAGTACACTTTTGTCACACAAATTCATACAAAACAACTTTCAGGTTCACAACTCAAGCTAAAGTTAAATTAATTGTCGTTGTTTTAAGATTATCAAATTGTGATTCAAATACCGGAAGAAAGAAAAACAAATCTAAGAAACAATGTGTGTGATACTATTAACTGTAAAGTACCCATGAAAAAAATCTAAAGAATGCGATATCAAAAGTTACTTTATATCAAATAATACATTTCATGCATAGTAACATTTGATCTTATAATTACATGTTTCGGAATAATGAGCTTCATATCTATCATTTCAAGTACAATTTTTGTTTTTGGAAATGAAATTCCAAGTGATTAGAAAATAAAACAGAAGCTCAAAAATGTATGGAAACGATGCATGACGTTCCAAGATATTAATTCCTAAAATTTAAAGCACACCCTTAAGCAAATATCCAGATTGGCTCCATAAGTAGAAAAATAATTTAAGAGATTAACAAAAACTTGTACTGCTAATTGTAGAAGTGCCTGTACACACAACCATAAAAGTAAATTTCTTACTCCAACTTAAACTGGTATTTTAAAATTGACATGTACGCCTTTCTTGGAGAAATATAAAAAGAGAGGTTAAAAGCTGCTAAAAAATAGTAATGTTTCTTTTTTCGAAATCGCGCAGTAATGTGCTTTTTCTATGTTCAAAAATCGGCACAGAAATTAAATGCGGTGTTGTCATATTAGTATTATCTACCTCCACAATTACATTTTACAAGGTTATAAATTGTTTTTCGGTTTAGCAGTAATTCTATACTCTTTGATAACCCTTTTTATTAGTTATTAGAAACACATCCGGTTTATTAATTTTATAAATATAATTTATTAACTAAATTTGCGCGTAATCTCGCAACGTCGCAACCTTGCATGGCAACAGCGGATTTCTTGAAGTGCAGCGACATTCTATGGCAGCGAACAATGTGTATCCACATAACCTGTAATAAGTTTTTGTTCGGTGCAGAAACAACCATGGAAAACATTATATGGAGAATATCTCATTTTGCATACGAGTATTTCGCTGAAAAAGAAAATTCTGTGAAATCAACATTTTGGGCTACATAGTCGTTGTTAAAGTCAACTGTGTTAATATAAAACAGCATAGATATAATCTAAGTACACCAAGTTCTCAAGCAAAAAATATAGGTTATGTTTCCCAGAAATCAAATATATTTACAAGAGAAAACTTACGAAAATTTTTAACAGAGGCCCGTGATTAATGTACCTAATGTCAAAGGTAATCTCAAAGAAGGTCAATCACATTGTCTATAAAACATAATGTTTTAGGTATATTTTTTATTCGAAGTTGTAGGAGTATGCGGAAAGGAAGAATTTGAACAATTTTCTTGTATCTACATAACCTATAATAAGCTTTTATTATTATTACAGAACAGATTATTAGCTTACATGCCCATTTTAAATGAAAGTATGAAGCATACCTCTTATTTTTCGGCACTTTTAATATTTTTGCTTGCAGAAAGATCTGCAGCAATTGCAAAATAGAGATGGATAGCAATAATAACAAGCAGTTTACATGCATTCGACCGAACTTGCAAAAACTGGCAGATAATATATCAAATTTATTACCTAAAAACTCAGCCACAGTTTATGAAAAGCGGTATGAATTTTTTTTTTTTTGCGCAGAAACAACCATGTAAAATATATGGAGAACACCTCATTGCATACGAGTATTTCGCTGAAAAAGCAAATTCTGTGAAATCTTTAACACTTTGGGCTGCATAGTCGTAGTTAAAGTCAACTCTGTTAATAAAAAACAGCATAGATATATCTAAGTACACCAAGTTTTCAAGCAAAAAATATAGGTTACATTGCCAAGAAATCAAATATATTTACAAGAGAAGACTTACCAAAATTTTTAACAGAAGCCCGTGATTAAATGTACATGATGTTAAAGGTGATCTCAAACAAGGTCAATCACATTGTCTATAAATCATTATGTTTTAGGTTTATTTTTTATTAGAAGTTGTAGGAGCATGTGGAATGGATAAATTGAAAAATAATGACGGCATTCAAGACAAAAACGATACGCTAATAATTAAAATTCCAACGTCTAAAACTGGCAAAGCACGAGAATTTACAAATATGTGTAAAAATATTTATCCAATTGAAATATAGTAAAAATACCTAATTTTAAGACCGCACCATACACCAGACAAATCATTATTTATACATTACATTTGGATAGTGAATGCAGCAGCTGCTGCATTGTACAAATATACCTGCAAACACACTGTAACAAATTATGCAGACACCTCTTTTGACTAAAAGATATATATTTAACTTTATCCATACGTTGTCAACTTTGTTAATAATTGCAATCTCTAACTTCATAAGAAATATGAATAATCTACTTTGGTGTTTTATAGTAGTATTAAATGTTCATAGAATATAATTGCACTTACTACGAAGTAAGCTTTCCTAGTTTTAAGTTGTTTTCTTTTCTCTTTGATTATCTTAATTTCTTCAGCCTCTATGTGGCTGTTTTAATTCCAAAAAATTGTTTCTGAATAAACTGATTCATACCACTTTTTCTTTCTTTTACTCGAAAACAGTTTAAACTATAACTCCAAATATTTACCTACTTTACAACGTGTCAAGCATTCGGTTGTTGTAAATGATGCAACCATAAATACAAATTTGAACACTGATATGACAGGTTTGAGGCTAGGATGTGGTTTTCATATACTCCCATTACTTGTTGCCTAAATCTGGCGCGAGGCCAAAAGTTATTATTGACGTATATATATATATATATATTAATATATATATTACAACTTAGGTAAGTTTGTTAAGTAATTAGTATCTACCCCACTTCGTCTTTAAAGCGCAGCAGATACCGTATGCAATTTTCAAAAAAAAAAAAATTTATATGAAACTTATTTCAAAGATGAACTTTTTGTGAAGTGTATTAATATCAATTTTAATATACACTATATGTTGCTAATTATAACGTATTATATCCAGAAACTAAATAAACTGTTCTTAAATTAATCATAAAATAAATTGTCCCCTAACTGGTTTTAAAAATTGAAAGCATATTACTTAGCTATGTATGTAATGTAATAACACTAATAACTAATAAGGTAAGAGCATTATTAACAAACAGTTTTTTTTTAATGTTTTGACATGACGTCATCAACTTTCCAAATATGATATAAGAAAAATATTGATGTTCTTTTATCACTAAATAATTTTTTGTGTTGCTATAAAATTTGGAAGAAACTGTAATTTCTGGAACAAACTATAAAATGCGGCCGCTAATTTTTTTCTTTTCTTTCGGAATAGTCTATTTATGCACCCATATAAGTATATTTAAGGAATTAAAAAATACACAAATATGATATGTATCGTACTTTACACTTGAAGCCAGATTTACTAATAAATTTGTCAGCTGATGCGATTTTTATGAAGAAGATGAATATACAAATTTAATTAACCATCTCTCTAATAATCTCATGATAATACCTTTTCAAACTAAAAACAGACTCGGAAGGGGAAATCTATATTTTCGCGTTTTACAAACTGTGAAATGTCAAAAACATGACTCTATGCTTGTATGCACAATTGCACATATATATTTAAAAATGTTCCTGTTGCAATTTATTCCCTGCTTAACCTTAAAAGTAAAAATGAAATTTATTCTTTATAATTAAACTTAAAATATAGTATTGCAAGAAGTAAGAATTTTTATAGAACAGAATTGTCAGCAGAGTTTTAAAATTACAGCCCACTATAATTGATGTTTATTTAATTAATTAATGTTTTAATCAATTAATTAACTGAACTGCACAGTCCGGCAAAAAATAAAGCATAAGGTTATTTTATAGTTGTAAAATACCGGATGATTTTTTTAATTTCTGCTCTAGTTACCGTGTGGAATTGAAACTGTTGACGTCAACACTATGGGTAAGTAGAGCATAAATTAAAAAAAAAATCTTATATTTACTTCATGTCACAGTATCTTCTTACATAAAATATAAAGTTTTTGCATATTAAAACTTCTAATACATATAATTTTATATATTATAATGTAATACTATAATATATAGATGTCTTGAAAATTTGTAGACACTGATATTCTGTAAACGCCACTGCTTTTAGCTTGAAGGAGGAAGCTTAATTTAGTAGCTTAATTGTTCAATTGCAACATATTTTGAACGGATAAGTCGTTTAAAAATGATTACAGTAATATGAAACACTTTGATGTGTTGTATTTGTTTTAACCGTAAATAAAAATCTTGGACTATACAATATTTCTTTGATACCTGCCGAAAATGGTTGATTTTTTTACTTTTGAAAATTGGATCGGAGGCCTACTCACAGCCCAGATTTGACGGCCTTAAATTTATTTTTGTGCTGATACATAAAAGATTTGGGCGTTTTTGAAAAAAATCTTACTAATTGTTTATAAAATAAAAGGTACCACTTTCATTTTTTATGTTTATAAATTTTATTTTTTTTATCGACCGACTGAATTTATCAAAATCCGTTAAAAAAAAAATGTATGTAATAATGCAATTAAAAAAAATAGCATTGCGTTGCGACGCCGGAGCCATAGATGCGTTATGCTTATTTAAGATGTAACAAATTAAGTTTCCACTTCAACATAAAAATAGTGACCTTTATAAAATTTCAATATCGGTCACTCTGTATACCTATTATAACCCCGAGTAAATGATTCCACAGTATAGTAAAAAAATTAGTTAAACATTAATTTTATATTTATAAGTTTCGTTTGTTGTCAAATTAAAACAATTTACGCAGTTTAAAAGTTCTAATACAATAACATTTTTTGCGTAAGTTACCCATGACCTTTAAATAATAAAACTTATTCTTTGCATCTAAGACAGAATATCATGTAACAAAATTCATATGAAGAATAAACAATAAGTCTGTTTATCAAAGATAAGAAAATGTTTAAAACGAAGGTTAAATGCAAATATTGTTTTGAACGCACGTGCCAAATTTTCGGTGAATTTTTAAACGATAATCGAAATAATAATACGTGGTGATTTGTATCTGATTCCAAAGCGTGCTAGCAATTCAAAGAATAATTGTTTAAACAAAATGAAAACGTAAATTTTTACCATCTTCTTATTTATATAATCCTTGGCCTTTTCACTACTAACGGAATTAATGCGTGCTATTATTGTAACATTATACGAAACATTTAACGATATTGTAACCACTGAATTAATTTAATACACAGATGCTTTACAAAATGAAGAAATTAAACCATTCCTCTATTTTACATTTTTTACAAATAAAAAACGATATTAGTAAAGCGAATGGAATTTAATACAATTTCAACACACCCATTGGTGACCACGCATGATTAATTATTAATACGAATATTAGAGGTACTAAGAATACCTTCAAAATTTTATTAAAATTTAAATTTAGGATCATCTGACAAATGTTACTAAGAACGTTGTGATAAAAGCAATGGTATCAAAGTACAAACACCAATACGAATTATAATAACGATAGTACAATGACAATACTGCTACAATTACTTTGGTAAGAGCAACAAAAACTCATATCCTTGAAGGTATAAATTAACATTTTACTGAAAGCCTTAGTCATAATTCAGGAGTGATATTCTAGAACACAATAAGGTCCTGCTGCGATTGAATGGATCAAGATTGCTTTAGCATGCCAAAAAAAGTGAAAAATAAGTTAGCAACAATATAAAAAAATCCTTCGTTTTTTAATTGCAGCTTTCAATAAAACATATGCACTTTCATTCCACTCTAAGGATTCTATTATATAACATCACTAACTAAATGTCAAAGGGCGCTACAAAAATGTCAGTAGTAAATAAAACAAACAGAAAAGATACTCACATAAAACCTCATGTTAGTGGGCACTGATAATGTGAATATAAAGAGGTAAACAGCCGCACCTTTAGTTATCCAGAGCTTATATAGACTACGTCCCCACAAGACTTTAACGCAAGGTTACGATACGAACCGCGGTTATTCAGCTAGCAGATTCATACATATAGTTTACCATTGTTTTCCGCATCGACCCACCACCACCGGAACATGAACCAATATTAATGGGCTACATGTTTGGTGGTATGGTACGCGAACAGTTTGTTTTATTGCATAATGAATAATCTCAAGATCATTAAATAGCTTTAATCACTGGTTGACAGATAAGCGATATTTTTATTCAGCTGAAGATGGGCAGCAATACGTTAAAAAAATAATTAGTGCCCTCAACTAAGCACTTCACCTTCACGACTAATCTAAAAATAGAAATTACACTTTTTTATTTTTGTCATTTAAGTAATTTTATTTGTATTATTAGTAGTTATTAAACATAAAATTGTTCTTTATAAATGGGTGTATTCACTTTGTCCTGTCAGTTGTTTAATTTAATGTGGAATTTGCAGAATGCAGAAAATGTGTGGCAGTTATTGTCTCTTGCGTTGTCATTACGCCCAATAATTGTCTATTCATATCAATACGTAAATATACATAAATAATTGCTGTTGAACTTTCGCTATAAATCTTTTTTTCTGTAATGTAAGTCTTAAAGAAATTTCCAGAAGCCTGTAAGTGTTCTTTCAACTGCGCATTATTTGGTCTATTAGTGATAATTCGATGCAGATAAGCAATTAAGAGTCATGTTAAAAATAATCATTGATTTTTATGTTTTCATTGGACTCGTTGAATGGGTGATTTAAGAACATGCATTATATTAAACTGACTGGCATGAAATTATAAATCGCCCGAAATCTATTTCCTGTGTTGTCATTGATGTTTAAGTGTACCACGTTAATTAATAAATTCTATACTTGTGCTAAATAACTTGGTTCGTCCCAAACGTTTTCTAGATTAATTGGTATTCATGAAACAAACCTTCATTTTCACACCCAGTCAAGTACATATATTAGAAATGTGTGTGATGTCCTCGTGTAATGCAATATCCGGCCAGCTTTCTTTTGTTCCTAGGAAATACAACAAAATGATATAGTTTATAAACATTCGATCTGTTTTGTGTTATTAAAGTAAAAAAAGTTGTACACAAAGGTACGAATCTGGAACTAGATTGCTGTGACGTTTTCTCTTTTTACCTACATATAATTACGTATGGAGAGTAGAAATTTCAGTCTTACATTATTTTTAGTTTCTTAAAGAATTCACCAAATAACTTGTTCAAAATTAGCAATTCAAGACTCGTTAATTAATATTTTTCTTCAGTTTTATTGATAAAATATTCTAATAAAAGTGATTTTTAACATTGTAAAAATAAACATGTTTGATCTTTGTTAAATTTTTTGAATCTTATTTGCAACACGATATTTGTGGGATTCAAGTTTCTTACATTTAAACTGGTTTCACCAATTATGGTGTTATAGTACATTATGATATTGCGTTAGCAACATAAAACGAGATGAAACTGAGATTTTTTAATAGCACGTGCCGATTAAATGTTGTCTATTGTGCTTTGTATACTTTTTTCAAAAAAATAAATAAATAAATACATAAGTAATTAATAGTGAAAATAAAAATTATTTGTAAAATGTTTACAATGACTATATTAATTATAATTACTTGCTGTGCTAGTGCTGATTTCTGTGTTCTAGGGTTTAACAGAAATTTAAAAACTTCTCAAAATTTTACTCCATTGCTAGTTTTTAAAAAAGAACTTATTTACAAATAAAACAAATGTATGCATATATTCTTATAAAATTTTAATTGTAACTAGAACAAATGTTCGAATAGCATTGATGCCATGTTTTTATATTTTGAGAACAAACCTGAGAATTTTTAGTTAAAAATTACACCGTATACTTGTTTCCTTGCGCTACTAGTTTACACGCATAAACAAATTAAGTTATTATTTAAATATTATTGACGCTGTTTCAACTTTAAAAGCGTTACAAAATTCAGATTTATTCCGGAAATACTAAACACAGAAAAATTGTTCGATGTGTTGGAAGACTTGTTTTGTTGCCTTTATTTTTGTCAAAACTATGGTCTATTTTACTATCCAAATTTTAAACCACCGTAATCTAATTTTATATCTTTTTTACTTGCCATATAATAGCGATTGAAATATTGTAATAATTCAGGTCAATGTCTAGTTTCAGATTTTTCTTGGCACAGAATACGAAAATGCAAGTTTCCCTTTTCCAACTGATTGCCACTACTACGATTACTCTAAGGTTTAAAGTTTTGGATTCTACCAAGTCCTCGATAATTAAAAAAATTATAGTACACAGATAAATTTAAACAGTTTACATTCCGTCAAATTAATTAGAGCGTGCAACGCTTAGCAATAGTGATTCGGTTATCGATTTAATCAGATTATTTATCGGTATTTAAGAATCTCATTTGTTATTGTAATGACAGCAAAAATTTTGTTTTTGAAATTCTTGAAATAGTTTCGAAATTTTTAACATTTTTAAATGTTTTGCTAAAGGAATATATTGCAGCTTTAAATTATAGGTGTACTACGCACTGCGTATTTAAGGAATGCAGAATGGAGATAATAAAATTGTAATTGATAGCAACATGTAAAAAACAAACTTTAAACAGTTTAGGTTTTACTTTCTTCGTATGCATATTTTGGAATTTTGTATTTCAGGTTTTAGTATGATTTTTGCTGCATTCTCTGGTAGTAAAAAGGTTTAGTGTTTTGATCAAGGTTTGTAGACGTCATGAGCAAGGTTACGTCTAATTTTTTAGTGCATTACAGGTGTAATATAACATTATTAAAATACATTGCTGCATTTTTTTCTTATTCAGAACGTTTCTATGTAAAACCGTAAAATTTCAGACTTCACAATACTCAGTGAACCATAACAACTCCACACCTAGAATGCAACGAAAGAAGTGGTGGTATTTTGTGCAGGCTTGATTTCAGATCGTGATCAAAATTATTAAATATGGCATTTCTTAATGGAAATTTATGTAAACACTAGGCACGTGCAAGTTCCGGTTAACAAGTCGAATTTTCGTAACTAGCATGGAAATTCAGCCTTAAACTGAAAACTGAAGGTAAGAAATGTTATTACCATCACAGTTATGGAATGTGGATCAGGTGTATAGACAGGCGTGTCGACCTCGGAAGACGATACAGCAATTCCGGCTGACGCATTTTGGTAGGGTTCATTTTCTCTTATAAGGACACACCTTTAGGGCTAGAAAATTAAGTTTGGGTGTTTGTCACCCTTGAATTATTGTTATTATAATTTGGGTGTGTTTTTCATTTACAAGATCGAGGCAGTTCTGAGTTTTCCGCTTTAAATGACCTACAACTAATATTATAATTGATAGAGAACGGAAGATACCGAAACAATTTTTTCAGGTGGAAGACCATTGTGTTAAAAATATAGTTTTATGAAATAAAGTAAATGGATTTTAGTCTACCACTTTTATTTAGAAGTTTTCGTACCGCTGTGTTTTTCAAAGATATACACTTAAAATGAATTATCTTAAATTTAAGTTACGCATTTAATGTATTTTTTATGTTGGTTAAAGAATTTTTACAAAATATGAATTAAAATCGTGACTATTTTCTACGTAGATGCAGTGATGTATACTTGGAAATTCCATGCCTTTCACTATCTATCTTTTCATAAAATGTATACAAGGATAGATAATCCACGACAATTTAATTTTTTTATCAAACTATGATTGAATAATAGTTCATAAAATCTTTAACAGGATGTTAAGAAAAAGTGACCTTAAAAAAATTCGCTACTCAAATACAGAAACTACAGGCTGTCCGAAATGTCGCGAACATCTTTAAGAGTACATTATCCAGGAATGTCAATAAGTACGAAAAAAAAAATCTTTTCGATGTGGATTATAAGAAAATTATATTTTTATTGAAATAAATTTAGCAGCGTTGCCCAATGCATGAAAAATTTATTTTTTAATACGATAACTATAATAACGCTTACATCTTTAAATGCATTATGTAAACCTTGCTACCAAATAGAATTGTATCAACTTATTTGTGTTTTTGTTTCTACAAAATATCAACTTTTGTGAATATCCATTTCGGTAATATCTTGGCACAAGTCCACGAAAGAAAGGAAAAAAAATGTAAAAAATGAGAAGGGAGAATCACGTAAGCATAAATCTAAAATGATAATTCTTATCTACCTTTACATAAAATAGATTACTTTTTTAGACAAAAATACTCACCTCACGATTCATTAATTAAACGTATATTAATGTTTCAAATAAACCATCCTGTAGATCTTTGAATTTCATTATCATTTTCAAAGCCTTTAAATTTGGGCATATAATTAAAACTTGCGCAATTTTAGTATAATAAAACGCAGTCCAATGACGTTTATTAATATGTATTTAGATAGAAATCGTTAAATATACTTACATGTGAAGTGAGTGTAGAAAAGGTACTGAATAAAACACATTGTTTTCTCAAAAAGGTGATTTTTTTTTATTGCAAATACACTCTAGTGTCAAAAATTTGTTCCAACGATATCAAAAAAAAAAAAATTATACTTATCTGAACCGGAAAAATCTGGAGAGAACTCAGTTGATTGTCGAGAAAACGCAAGTTTTATCAGGAGTAGATATAAATGCACAGTAAAAAGTTTTGTACGTCTAATGGTGTTTTAAGATGACTTCCACTACAAACCTAACGACCAATCTGCCTGATCTCTCTTGTGTATCTACATATTAGTGACGTGTTTAATGTTTTTCTGTTATTTATGATTAAGTCGAAAGTCTGCTGTGTGTGAATTAATAATAAATTTAACAGAAAAAGAAGACACGTTATTAACATACGTACAAAATTTCTCCATTTACTGATAAAATGTCAATTACATAAGTTTTCTTGTAAAAATATTTCATTTTCTTATCTTAAACGTGCTACTTATGTCAATTCTATATCAGGATATCTGCATATTAAATTTTGTATCCTTAATATACGACTTTTATCATTTGTATATAAAAATTGTTAGTTTTTCAAGGTCCACAAAGAATGTTAGCTAAA